AAATGCATTAGAAAAATCAATTAAGATTAGAACGGTCAGTTTTGATTTTTCCATCCCCTCACGAATATCTTCCGTAACCTTGAGAACAGCAGTAGTTGTAGAATGACCCGGGCGGAAACCAGACTGATAAGGGGAAAGAATATTCTTTGAGAAAACAAAATAAGAAATCTGTTTATGAACAACAGCTTCCAGAACCTTAGAAAGAAAAGGCAGAATATAAATTGGTCTGAAATTAGATAAAGCGCTGCATTCAGTAGATTGGGATGGACGGGATGGGAATAATAAAGGCTGTACGCCAGAGAGTTGGAAAAGCACCATTCATCAGCGGAAAGTTAATTATATGAGTTATCACGGGTAAAACAGAATCCAGCACGTGCAAAACCATTACCCTACTCACATCATCACATCCAACGGCTTTCGATTTAATAGAGGAAAGTGCTTAGCGTACCTCGTCTTCGTCTACAGGAGTAAAAGTGAAAGTTTCATGAGAATAAGGAGGCATGGAAGATATAAAAGAGATAGCATTAGCTCTAGAATTATCAGAAACTATTTGAGAAGACAGAAAATGACGATTAAAATCGTCAGGAGAAAAGGTGACGCTATTATAGTCAAATTGCGATTTTCCATATCCAAGCGTATTCAGAGACTTCCATAAATCAGCCGAAGATGAATTAAGTAGTTGTTCGTGGATATGTCGGCGTTTAGCAGCTCTCACCATCTGATTGCATCGATTTCTTGCAGCTTTATATGCTTGCCACTTTACATCAGTGCGATTCTTCTTGAAAGCACGGAAAGCTCTATCGCGTTTAGCCTTAGCCATTCTTACCCCAATCGTGATCCATGGAACAGGAGGATGCTTCAGTCGAACAACACGTTTAGGAGCATGTTTATTATACAGTCCTATTATTTTGCTGTTAAAGAAGTCGACTTTTCATCAACTGTGGAAGCAGTATATACAGATGCCCAGTTAATAGCATCTGCATGGCATTTAAGCTTGTCCATATCTATTCTAGCAAGACTACGAATAGAGATGGACACAGATAAAGTCTTGAGAGACTTTAATTTATATGACAGATAAAGCAGGTCATGCCGTGAAAATCCAGAAGCAGGGAATTGTCTATAATTGACAACATGATCAACGGAGGAGACGGCTATAAGGTCAATCCAGGTGTCAGCAGAGTGGAAGTTGTGATGTGTTGCATTTAGGGGCAAAATAGCGAAAGTATGCGACAACATAGTCGACCTCAGTTTCGAAGATTTAAGAGAAATCCCGGATAGGTCAGTGTTAAAGTCTCCCATGATAATGTGATATATGTAGGCAGAACTGTAAGGCAATAAATTTACTTTCAAATCGGAGGAGAGTAGTCCACTTGAGGTGGACAGTAAACAACTCCAAGAAACACTTTAACATTCTTGACATTAACTTCAACAAAAATATATTCCATTGAACCGGAATATAGGGTAGAAGATGTGCTTAATATTTTATAAGGTAAATTACTACGCAGATAGATAGCGACACCTCCGCCTCTTTTACCAGTGCGGTCGTTACGGAGTAAAATATAACCTGGAAGACTATAAGACGAGGAAGAGAGTTCTGGCATGAGCCAGCTTTCGGATATGAGTATAGCATGAACTGCGTTAGAAGAGAAAGTATCCAGGAGCTCCGTATGATGTAGAGGAATACTTTGCGCATTTAAATGACAAATGTGAAAACAGTTTAACAATTTTTGAGATTCTTCGCGTACGTAGCGTGGCAGGCTCATCCGAAGCATCAACAAGTGAAAGGGAAGAGGAGCTGTTGCAAGTGGAATAAAAAGATTCATCATCTGACATTAAATAAAAATATTTAAAATAATAAAATAATTATTTAAATACTATATATATATATATATATATATATATATATATATATATATATATATATATATATATATAAATATCTAAAATAATAAAATTATATCAAATAAATATAACTGAATATTACAAAAAATAACTAAATATATATGTATTTCCATGCATCGCCCACCGGCTAACTGTATATAATCTTAAAAATAACACCAGGAAATAAAAAAACAAATGCCAAGTTAAAACAAAATAGAAAATTTTATTAAAAGTAAACAACTAAATAAAATATAATAAAAAACAAAGTAATAATTAATTAGGCTAGACTATTACATATAACTAAAATAAAGTTGAATCAAATATAACTTGTGTACATATTCTGTCAATAGTAATGTAGTTACCATGGCAAAAGGCCATGTAACCGAAGCCAACAACATAACCATCTGTCTATGTCATCTGACATCTGTGAATATTATGTCTTATAGTTATAATATGTTATCTATGGTCTTAGTTCAGCAAAATATTACTTAGGCTCAGAAGAGCTAGAACCCAGAGCCGTGAAGCCAGTTAATAAAAAGAAAATATTACTTTAATATGTAGGTAAATAAAAGTTATTATGCTACTATTATTACAGTATCATAACAAATATGCCCAGTTGTTATCAATAATATTAAGACAAATAACAAATACACATGACAGCTTACAAATTAAATTCAACACAAGAATAAAGCGAAGTCGATGAGAGTTATTTGTTGCGAATTATGCGCTTGGACCTCACTGTCGAATTTGGTGCACTACCACTGTTAACATTTGGTGACACTATATATATATATATATATATATATATATATATATATATATATATATATATATATATATATATAGTGTCACCAAATGTTAACAGTAATATATATATATATATATATATATATATATATATATATATATATATATATATATATTAATGTTTTACTTCGCATGATATTAACGATAATATTAAAACTTTTTATAATATAATTAATGATATTATAATTAAGTTTATTCCAGTCAAAGTTATTCATACTAAAAATAAATACCCAATATGGTTTAATCGAGCACAAATAAAAACAATCAACGAAAAATTAAAATATCGTCGGAAGTGGAAAATATAAGGCCATGTAACTAATTATAATACATTTAGACTACTCAGAGAAAGGCAAAAGGTGTTGCAGGAGGAGCGTTTTAATAATTTTATGTCTGATGCTCAATCTAAGATCTCTCACAATAGTAAACACTTTTGGCCGTATGTTAAATCAAAAAGGAAAAATATAAATGATTTGCCTGACTCAATGTTCATTGGAGGTATTAGGTCATCTAGCGGTGAGAGCATATGCGATTTGTTTAATCAGTATTTTAACTTGCTATTTGAATCCCATAGTCAATCCGATCAAGATCATATAGATGTCAACAACGGAAATAACCTGATAAATCTCAACTATATTTTTAGAGATAAAGCCAAAATTAAATCGTACTTCAAAAATATTAATAAAGGCGCTGGTCCCGACGGGATTCCTCCAATTTTATTGAAGCACTGCTACAAACAATTATCTGAGCCGCTTTTTAGATTGTTTAATCTTTCATTGAAAACAGGAGTGACGCCATATTTGCCTGGAAACAGTCTTTTGTGACACCTGTGTTTAAGTCCGGTACTAAACGGGATATAGAAAATTATCGTCCGATATCCAAACTTAATTCTATCCCCAAGCTTTTTGAGAAAATTGTGTATGACGCTATATACCCTTCCATTAGACCCGTCTTGTTGACCCAGTAACGCGGTTTCATGACTAGGAAATATACAGAGAGTAATTTATGCGAATATCTTGATATTGTTTACAAAGCAATGGGTGCAGGGCTACAGGTGGATGCTGTGTACACCGATTATTCAAAAGCTTTTGATAAAATATCTCACGAAATCCTTATCAAAAAACTAGACCAAATCGGTGTGCACGATGACTTCCTGCGCTGGCTAGCATCTTACTTGCGTAATCGTACTCAAGCAGTAGCTACAGGGCTAAAAAATTAAAATTATTAAAAATGAACATGACTGTGAGCTACTACAAGAAGCTATTAATAGATTATACTCATATTCAAATAATCTATTGTTCTTAACCCAGATGTTACTGTAACTATTTTTTGTTTTCGATCTTGGTGATATTCGGATATGATAGTTAAAGTGACATAATAACCAGGAAAAATAGTAAAAAAAATACATGTTTTCAGACTTGTGTACAAGATTGTTGTGTACTTCAGATGTGTAAACTAATTCTACATTTGTTCAGCCTACAGTTCCCCGAAACCAAATTTATAGATGGAATAATCGTCATATTCCAAACCATTTCAATCAATGGAATGACGAACAAGGTCCAAAAAACTTACAATCACCCTTATATTATTTCGACTGCTTGTTCAACAACAATGTTATTCAATTACTAGTGCGATATACCAATTTGTATGCAGGACAGAGGAATAAAGTGGGCAAAGTAACTGTTTCTGAATAGTGATGTTAACCGATTACAATTTTCAGCACCGGTTTAAACCGATTACGTTAAGAAAAAAACCGGTTTTTTAAGGTACTTTTAGGTTTTTTTTCTTATTTTTTTATAGAAAGAACAAAAGCTCTAATCTTTTTTTTTTAAATCTACTTTATTAAAATCAAAATACCTTTAACTTGAAAATAACTAATCGCATAAGTCGTAATTTTGATTGAGAAAACAGATCTGATCGACAGCATCCGCTTGCAACCTGCTTCTTTTTGAAGACACTTAACCTGACTTCGAAAACATCCTTTCTGGAGGTACAGACGACTTGCAAAAGCGGCGGAAAGTGATTTTGTGTCTATTTGGTAATTTATAGTTTGGGTTCAAAACTTCTGTGAATCTCCTAAATCCCCTGTCTTCAACAATTGAATAGGGCTGGAAGTCAGTAGCGATCATCATGGTTAAATATTTATAAATTTGTTTCTTATTACTTACCAGAGTCAAGATAGTAAGGTTTTTCCTAATAAAATACCAGTTTTGAATTATGGCTTATTATTTATTTTTCTTAAAATAATGAGGTAAAATAACAATCACAGAAAGGAAGTGGTCATCGATCAGATAAGTAATTACCAAATTTAAATGTTATACTTTGCCTGTTTCTAACAAATCGTAGTTTTGGTTTATGAAACAAATTTGGTCCACAGCATCTGCTTGTAGCCTGCTCCTTCTAGAGGACAATACATATCCTGATTTAGAGAACATCCTCTCTGAAGGTACCGATGTGGCTGGTATAGCTAAATACTTTAGCGCTATTGTATTTAATGGCGCCAAGTGTTTGTTGCTGGACCAAAAAGCTCCCGCACTTTCAGCTGCTTTTGTGATCTCGGCTTCTTCATTTTGTGGATCTGTCTCCAAATACATTCGTAAAATATTAACTGCAGAAGCAGTTAAATTAGTATTGGGTCTTCTTTGTTTTATGAAGTCTAGCAGTCCAGGTTTTTTCTGTTCTGTGCTACTACCTGGCTGCTCCGAAGTCGATGGCATAGAGCTATCGGCACAATCTTTTAAGTTATGGGATAATTCTTTCCTGACTAACTCTTTAGCCGACTGCATGTTCTCCGGGTGACGGAATCCTGTTCTTAATACTGGATGTAAATATGTAGCCATTTGGGATACAGTTCTTGTCTCATATGCCAAGAGTCTGCTACTTATGTTTCGCCTCACTGATGAGTGAAACATCTTGCCTATATCTGTTGTTAGGCAAATTTCTATTGTGTTCAATTTTTCAAATAGTCCACATATTAACGGAATAACTAGTGAACTAGTTGGATATTGATCAGCGCTGACGAGTTTTGTAGCTTCCTCGAATATTTCCAAAATGTTGATAACTTCTCTCCCTGCTTCTTCTTCGGAAGCAGTTAAGTAGTCTGGCGCCTGATTTAATTTCCTACACACCAATGCGAGAATGTCACTTAGCTGTAGTATTCTCTTCATCATGTAGAATGTGCTGTTCCATCTTGTAGATACTTCTTGTATCAACTTCAAAGGAGTAGAATCGGGGTTTCTTTCTTTCTGAGCTAATTTTAGCGCTCGCCAACCTACAGATGATTTCTTAAAAAATTTCACTATGGCTTTACATTTGTTAGTTATGTCCTCCACCTGAGAAAGCTTCATAGAATCGTCCAAAGTTAAATTAAGCGTATGGGCAAAACACGGCATGTGCCGTATTCCCAGCAAATTACACATCTTCACCATGTTAGTACCATTATCAGTAACAATAGCAGAAATTTTTCCTAATATTTTCCATTCTGTTAGTAAATCTGTCATAATTTCAGCTAAATTTTCGCCTGTGTGTGAAGTTGGAACATCACATGTAGTTAATACGTAGCTTTTTAAAATGTTTTGGTTAAAAAAATGTATTGTGACAGTAAGGAAACAATCCATGTTTTGATTCGACCACATATCAGCAGTGAGTGCAAGATTCTTAATATTTTCAAGCATGCTAGCAAGCTGTAACTTTGCGCATTGGTAAAGTTCTGGCATTAGGTCATACCTGATCCTCTGTCTACTTGGTAGTTTATAGCTTGGATTCAATGCTTCAACCAGCTTCCTAAAACCCTTGTCTTCAACAATTGAGTACGGCTGAAAGTCCGTGGCGATCATCATAGTCAAATATTTATCGATTTTCTTTTTGCTACTTGATGCGGTCATTTTCAGAGTAGTCTGAAATATGGGGCGCGGAGTATCCGTTGGTTTTTCTTGTGTCGTGCTAGTAGATGTTTCCTGTGCCTGTGTGGCACCTGGCTGATCACCCACTTGACCTCGATCCACCTCCACTGTAGCCTGAGGATGGTTTCTCTTAATATGTGCCAACATATTCGAAGTTCCTCCTCCAACTTTGATCACTTTAGCGCATAGCTTACACTTTGCACTAACATTATCAATCTTTTCAAAATAATTTCTGGTAATTGATTTACTTTTTACTTTAGGCATATTTGCAAAGAAATATTGTTAACTCTAAAGAACTCGCAAGCAAAACAGAAACTGAAATATTTTAATATAGTGAAGTTAGTCGCATATTAAAATGGGATATCGGGGAATTTCCCTACCATAAACAACATTTTAAACAGAACAGAATCATGTTCGGATACATATCAAAGACTAGGATACATGTTTTGTGATTGTAATCGGTTTTGCCAATGAGAACCGGTGATTATAGGTTTTTAAAAAAACCGGTTTTTTAAAGGTTTTCATGAAACCGGTTCACATCGCTATTTCTGAAATGAAGTGTTTCTTGGGCATCCTTATGTACAGCGGGTATGTAGTAGTACCCCGTAGGTTTATGTATTGGGAGACATCGACAGATGCCGACTTTAGGATTGTTCACAACGCTATGTCAAGAGATCGTTTTACTTTATTATGTCAAATCTCCACTGCTGTGATAATACAGTTCTTGGTGATTCTCCTGACAAATTCGCTAAGTTTAGACCTCTGTTTGATGAGTTAAATAAAATGTTTACTGAAATGGCTCCGCTAGAAGAGAACTACAGCATAGATGAGGCTATGGTTCCATACTATGGACGTCACAGTTGCAAACAGTTTATACGTGGCAAACCAATTCGTTGGGGGTATAAACTGTGGGTTGGTGCTACAAGATTAGGCTACTTGATTTGGTTTGATCCTTATCAGAGAAAATCTTCAACCATTGCAGAAGGTTACAAACAGTTTGGTCTAGGTGGGAGTGTCCATGGCACCTTGGTGTGGGAGTGGGATCTTGCGGAGTTGTGCGACCTACAAGGTCGTGATCCAACATTGCCATTTCATTTATTCTTCGACAATTATTTTTCCTCTATTCCTCTACTGCATGAACTTAGTAATAGAGGTCTGAGAGCCACTGGAACTATTCGTGAAAACAGAACGTCCAAGTGTCCTCTCGAGTCTAACAAAGATTTCAAAAATACTGATAGAGGTTCATTTGTATTCAAATCCAGTTTGACTACCAATATTTTGGTTTGCAAGTGGAATGACAATAGTGTCGTTATTGTTGCCTCGAATACTGAAACTGTGGAGCCCCTGCAAAAAGTCAAGAGATTTTCGCAAGAACTAAAAAGATTTGTACATATTGACCAACCGTCGGTTATAAGAAAATACAATGAAAATATGGGAGGGGTCGATAGATTCGATCAAAACATAGGGTTGTATCGGACTTCTATTCGTGGCAAGAAATGGTATTTTTCACTGTTTTGTCACACCTTAGATATGACTGTGCATAATGCATGGCAACTTTACAAGCGAGACGGTGGAGAACATGATCATCTCTTTTCGTAGACTACTGGCGAAAGGTTTGCTCGAAAGCTACAAAAAAAGCACAGGTAAATCTCATCTTGAATCATCTCGATATGATGGGGTTGATCACTTGGTCCAGTACAGCGCTCCCCAACTAAGATGCAAAGTTAAAAGTTTTTTATTTGCCAAAAGTGTAGATTCATTTACATCCTAAGAACTGTTTCCTTGAATATCACACTAAACGCAGTAAAGTTAGTGAACTTTACTGACTTTTAGTGTGATATACTTAGTGAAGTGCTGTTGTTTTAGTCTACACTATTATCCTCCATTTTCACTAAAAATCTTTAAAAAAGCGTAAATTTTCAACTCGCAATATTCATTCGCCCAAGTAAACACACAGAGTAAACATTTAAATGTGAAGTGAACTTGCAAACGGCTTATCGCTCCGTACCAATCGCTATATAAACAATCGTAGTTATATTTCATTATAGAACATTTTGCCACAGGTTAGAAAGGGAGCGATCGTCTTCTCGAAAGCCCAGTAAAAAGCCCACGCGTGCGAGAGAGACAACTCAACTCAACTCCTTTTTTATGACAGCAGTATCGCGCAGTTTTGCTGTTACATAATAAGGCTACGAGGTCATGACCTGTGTAGAACAAAAGAGCGCGCAGGAAATTTGAAATAGTTTGAAACAGTTTACGAGTTATTTTATTAGTCTATATTATTGATTGAGCAGTTTGATAGGGCAAGCCTGGCTTCTCGGCGTCTATGGAGGCTTCGCCATTGGCAGTTGAGTTATTGTCTCGTTTTTGTTTCTGAAAACTAATTTTAGTAGTTTGTTTAGGTTCAGGCTCAAATAAAACCTCTTCAGTAATAAAGTCGGTTGAATTTATCTGAAACATCTCATTTCCGTGGGAAAATAGAATATTTCCCACGAGAATGAGACGTTTTTCCGCGGAAAAAAATAGCCTATGTCACTCTACAGCCAACGAATTATCCCCATACCAAAATTCACGCCATGCCGATGCTCTGTTGCGACGTGAAAGAAGGACAAACTTTTGCAACATATTCTATTTTCTCGCGGGAATGCGGCTGTAGAGTGACATATTTTACTTTTTTCCGCGGAAAAAAGTAGCCTATGTCACTCTACAGGCACCGAACTATCCCCATACAAAAAATAATGCCGTGCCGACGCTCTGATGCGGCGTGAAAGAAGGACAAACAAACAAACAAACACACTTCCGCATTTATAATATTACTAGTATGGATACTACCACCAAAGTAATAAGTATTAAATACAGTGCGTAATAACAGGACTGTTTAAAAACTTAAAATTAAGTAAAAGCCTAATTTTTACAACAGCGTACTTAGCGTGGGTAAGCATAGACAAAATGCTCCATGTCCAAAGACTAATATACTCTTTTTATGCTTTGGCGGCTTGGTGTTTCGCCACACCACCACCTTACGGAGAATAATAAGGTAAAAGGTAAAGAAAATAAATAAATTACTTCTAAATATCTAAAATATTTCTAAATCTAACGCATCTGCCAGATCTTGTCTTAACTACTCTAGTATCAGATGGCGTAACTGTGTTATTAGGGGTAGGTTGGACTATAGCAGGAGAAGTATTAGCGGTTGCTGGAGTCACCGGAGTAGTAGTTTGCTTGCCTACTTCATTATTTTCAATGTAAGCTGGCATTTATTGATTGCTGCTGGAGTTTCTCTCATTGGGACAGTTTGATGCTTGCCAGGAACATGGCTGTATGCATCTGTGGGCTTTGGATGAAAATCTATTATGATACCAACAGAGCAGCTTGTCTCGTTCTGGACTGTGAACGGCTTATACTGCGGCTCTGGTAACATTTATTTTTACCGTGCCTGCTGTGAGACTAGCGACGATGCGGGTTAATTCGTCTACCTTCTGGTGGAGCATCTTAATTTCATTAGAGGTCGAAGGCACAGATAAAGCTGTACCAAGAGATTGATCGATAGCACTGACCTTGTGTGCCGATATTAATTGGGGATTAATTTCGTGAAGTTTGTCAGCTAAATTCCCAAGATCTTCCAGAGAAGCTTGTTTTTGAGCAACTAAAATGCCCTGCACTTGATGAGGCAACCTGCTCATTCATATAGATTTCAGCAGTTGGTCTGGAAATGATGAGCCCGCAAGTGTTTTAAGATGCCGAAGGAAGGACGATGGCTTCCGGTCGCCTATCTCCTCTTTTTCTAACAATCTTCTAACCTTTTCATCATAGGACTCTGAAAATCGTGTAATTAGTGCATTTTTTAATGTCGAATATGGTTGTGTCTTTCGTGGATCAGTTCTGATGTCCTCCACTTCTACTGCCCACTTGGTGTCTAGTTGGGATATAGCATAAAAGTATCCAGTGGTTTCTTGCATAACACCATTTATATGGAACTGGGCCTCGAGACCAGCAAACCAAAGTGCGGGACGGTCAGGAAAGAAAGGAGGAGCACGAATAGTTACTCTGTTTACTACAATATTTTCTTGGCTAGTAGATGAATTATCTATGTTGTCAACTGTATTCTCCGTGGTAACAGAATACTTATTATAAAATACAATTTAATATTAATATTGAGATCTTATTAAAATATTCCTTAAATGTTAAGTGCGAAAGACTTATAATGAAATGGAATACACTATAATACTAAGATAAATGTGTTTACATTGAATCACTTTAGTCAAAACATACACAGAACACATTATACTTTATAAAACAACTAAATATACAAAATAATGTTAAAACATATGAACACAATATGCAGATAATTTTAATTAAAGTTTAATGGTATCCTAATTACTTGACTTGTCAATAAATAATTAAATTGTGTGGTAAAAGACTTGTTAAGTCATGTATTTGGTAAAGCAGCATTTATAATCTAAGTTAGCAAGTCTAATAGTACGAGATCCCACTGCAGAATTAGTGTACTCATCGAGTATATGCTAAAAACCTAATTTTTACGCATATTTATCATTAAGAGAATAAATATTTGCTAGGGTGCCTATCAAAATGTGGCCGCTAGTATTTTTAATTAAATTAATTTTTAATTAATTTTTCGCAAAAAAATTTCATTGATTTGTTCTTAAAATAAAATATCGTCCACTTCACGGCAATATATATAAAGACTTTGAAAATTTACGGTTGCCGTTGCGCACTTGGCCGCACCTCTTTGCAGCCAGGTGTAAACAGGTATGATTTTGATATCTTTTTACGTTTATAACGTACATTTATGATTTATATATTAAATTAAAGCTAATTTTTTTCTTATTATTATGATATATGGGTGCCTAATTAAATCTGGCCGCAAATAAGAGTTGCTGGCTGCTAAATATGATAAATATTAAAAGTAGAGTGAAAGAGAGCTAGCGCGTAATGTCACCAGTCAGACGAAGACAGCGATTGCCAGCTGTCCGAAGTTTTAAAGCCATTGCGCATGCGTCGGGTGCTAGTGTTCTCAACTGACCGGCTGCAGCATATTTATTCTAACTTAGAAACCACGCTGTTTTGGAGTTCGTAATATACAACGTTATTTATATTGCTATTTTATTTGTGCATCTAAAATTATCAAATTAATTTACGTAAAATAAAATTGATAAAGATGAAAGCGTGTTTTCTGTGTAACAAAAAAAAAACAATGTACTTAATGATGCATCATTTAAAAAGTGTTCGCTCATGTTATTATTTCGTCGTATGAAAAAATATAAATATCACGACGCTTTATTAACAATTGAATCAACTGATGATTTTGGATATCATACAGAGTGCCTTAAAAAAATTACAGTTTTAAAGGAAAAAGACAAAGAAGAATTCGAAAATTTTTGCAAAACACAAACAGTAAGTAAAATTTCAACTGAACTTAAAAATATTATAGGTTATAGATACGATATAAATAATACAGTGCTAACTTCGAAGTTTTTTTTTGTTAAAATTATTATTTTTTTTTATATTTGTGGAAAAACGTGGTAACGTAGCACCATTTACTCATTCCTAAGATATTTCATTTCTTAGACAGGTAGAATTTATCAGGTAGTCGGACCTTTTTTAAACTTATTTCAAGCACACAATAAAATCATTCAACAATATAATGTGGAGAAATAAATACTATTACTAACTTTTTCTATTAACTGTGCGTTATGTTTTTCCGAAAAAAAATATATAACTCTCTACATTTAGAAAATTAAAAAAAAAAAACAAAGATTATATAATTGTATTTTTGTAGATCGATTTAATATTTTCATTTAATTATATAAAATACAATTAAAACAGTGTTGTGGAATGACCATGGAATATTTAACGTATTTTTTATAATTAACAGATTCCGAGCCTCCCTTCAGATCTTCATGAACGAAGTATTTCTGATGTCAACTGTGATCTAGTAAGTATATACAATAGTAACAATATTAATCGGATATGAAAAAAAAAATTTCGAACAGTAAGCTTTTAATACAAATCATCTTCAAACACATACATTTACTTTGTAGGAAGAATCAAGGCCTTCATTGAGCGATCAACCAACTACACTTCCAGCAGATGAACAGCGAACTACGACTGCTTCAAACGAGCAGCCTAGTACATCTGCGCACGAAGATGATCAAACTCAAGTTTTTCAAAGTTTATCATCTGCTGCTACAATATCCCAGCAAGCTATTCCATCAACACCTAAAATCAAAAAGTCTGCCTGCCTTTTTTGTGATCATGTTAAAAAAAAGTTGGTAAGAGTCGAATCTATACAACGTTCCCGCAATCAGAAGCAACGATTGAAACAATAAAATCAATGGCCAAAAAATCGAATGACACTAAATTGTTAGCGAAACTAGAGAGCCCTCAATCTGTTGCTTATCATTCAACTTGTTTTTCATCATATCAAATTTCATTGAAACGGCAATTTCAGGAACATCCAGAACCAAGATATTGGCATAAAAACCGTCAATTTCATCACTTGGCATTCAATGCGATTTCGGAAATTATAAAGACGGAAATTATTGGAAACAATCGCGTTGTGTATCTCACTGATTTGTTTACTCAATATAAATCATTGCTACTGGAATTTGCTGAAGGCCAAGTACGCGCTGAAGACATACAAGACTATCGTGTTGAAAACTTAGAAAATAAAATAATCAAAGCTTTTGGCGATAGAGTTACTATTGAATCATCCATGGGGACACCGAAAAAGAAAATTGTATATCAGTATGATATGGACACGTCACGATTAGCTGGTGAAATAGCAAAATTAGAATCTACTAAAAAGAATCGATTCAGAGATGTCGCTTACGAATTGTGCAATTGTATCACATCTCTGGAAAGTACGAAGCTGCCAGATAATCTAACTCCAAAGGATGTCATTCTCGGAGAGTGCAATATTCCAGAACAACTTTTTAATTTCGTGTGTGACTTAGTTCAAGGACCAGATACTCGTCGTAAAAATTCAGGTGATGATTTGGTGAAAATAAAGTCTGTGTGTAGTGACCTGATTTATATTGTATCCAAAGGTAGAGTCAAACCGTCAAAACATCTACACTCGGGTTATCAATGAAATCTATGACAAGTTCACGAAAAGTTTTAACGATATTAAATAGATATGGACATACAATAGGTTATAATTTAGCTGAAGAAATTGAAACTGAGATGACGTATAGTTCCCAAAACGAAAACAATGCGATACCGGCCGGTATTAGCAGAGTTGATGGGCTAAGCACGCACGTAGCTTTCGATAACTTTGACCGTTTCGTCGATACAGCCACTGGGAAAGACACTTTGAACGATACAGTTGGTATCATTTATCAATTTCGCAGCGAAAATGATGACCCTGATAATATGGACAATTCAGATACTTCTGATTCAGAATCCCTAAGCGCATATGTCCATGAAGGTCCCACGGAGCCTCTTGCAAGAGCTCGTAAGAGACGGCGTTTTGAAGCACCTTCGAAGGAAATTCGTCCCTTTGTCAAGACACCATTTACAAGTATGACGTTTCTGCCTTTTCAAACAATTACTGAAACAATCGATGCGTGTCATTCAGATAAATCAATCGCAATTGATAAGGATTTGGTTTGGAGTATGTCTTTATCTCAAATTGATTCGGTACCCATGTGGTTAGGTTATAACTGCAAAATTGGCATTGATGAGAGTAAAATTCAGACAGTCGAGTACTTATCACGAATTAATGAATCTCCTACATCGCTAGCTGTTGTTCAAGAAACTCTTAACATTGCAAAGGAAATTGCTAAGAATTGTAACCAACAACAGATCATAGCTACTTACGATTTAGCAATAGCCAAATTAGCTATGCAGATTCAACATACTAAAAAGCCAGAATTTGACGATATATTCATTAATTTAGGCGCATTCCATACCCAAATGGCTTTCTTTAAAGCAATTGGAAAGTATATTGATTCCAGTGGATTAGTAGAGATTTTGGTTGAAGCAGAGTTGAGCAATTTCTGACAGATATTTTTCATTTTGAAAAATATCTGTCAGAAATTGACACGGATGATGTTGAAACTTTAAAGGAAGACTTAAACGCCGTAATGAATACTTCATGTGGAATCAACGAGAGCATTGTTTTACCTGATTCATTGGATAAAATACTGCAGGGTTACAAACAATTCCGCGAAATAACACTCCAGGGCGGTCATGGAAAGACAGCTCAATATTATTTGCAGTATACTGAACTTATCAACATATTTCTTCGATTTTCTAGAAGCATACGCTGCAGTAATTTTGAGCTCTACTTAGATTTTATCTTCGAAATGTGTGGCTACTTTTTTTGTATTTTATTTTAAAAACAAATCAATGAAATTTTTTGCGAAAAATTAATTAAAAATAATTTAATTAAAAATACTAGCGGCCACATTTTGATAGGCACCCTAGCAAATATTTATTCTCTTAATGATAAATATGCGTAAAAATTAGGTTTTTAGCATATACTCGATGAGTACACTAATTCTGCAGTGGGATCTCGTACTATAAGTTATGTTCTGTATTAAAGAGAACTTTATGCAAAAGTTAAGTTATTATTAAATAGCTTTTATAAAAATTAAATTATCACTTTAAGTTGAATGAGCTTAAATCAATTAATTTCATTATGTTTGTAAATTTTGAGAGTTACCAAGACCATAAAATGATGTAAGTTAAAACTTCGTCAATAGTTATGTTGATTATAAGTAATATTAAAGTTTTACACCATAACCTGGTTTGTTCCTAAAAGGACGTTTCTACATTAAGTACGACACAGAGAAAAAAATGTATTTAAAAAACAAAAAATGCGCTGTGCGAAAGGAAATAAACCAAATAATAATTTTGTGGTGTAAAAGTTTGTATTAGTGTTTGATCTATCAGCAATTATATGTAAATTTTAATTAAATAAATTTTATTTATTCAATAAATAACTTTTTCTTTTCTTTTTTGTAAAAAAAAATGCAAGAAAATACTTGATACGGCAATGAAAAGACGCTTCTGGCTAGAAACATCCTTTCAACTTAGTATTTTTTTAAACGTCTTTTCTACTTAGTGATAATGTGTTACCAGGTTCTAGTTAACTAAATAAAAAAGACGTTAATAGCCATTTGCTGCTTTTCAACTTTTCAAAAAAGTATGAGAATCATACTTATATTTCTTTTTTTAAGAATATAAAAAATAGCAATTACAAACCTCTCATAAAATAAAGGTAAACTCTAAACTCGCGTTAAACTCTTCTATTAGAAACACAAATTAAGTATCAAAACAATCTAAGTTTGTATTTATAATTAATACTAATAATCACAGCTTTTTAAGGAATCTCTTATATTGAAGTCTTAATCTTATACTTGAATGAGATCAAACTAACACTACGACTTATGTTTTTCATAAAATAAAATAAAAACAATAATAGCAATAACAAACCTCTTTGAACTTATAATAGCTACTCTAAGTTACTCTTCTAAAAACAAAAAGCTATCTAAGTTTGAACAAATTATACTTAATATTAGCAATAATCACAGCTTTATAACTCTTGTAAATTTAGTCTTCATCAACTTGAGTCAGATCAACACTATTTTTATCAGTAGGTAGATTATACCAAAACGATTTTCTGTTGTCTGGCATTAAGGGTGTCAGTTTTTGTATGATCGCCGTCTTGCGCTCTTGAGTAATGCCTCTATACTGATTTTTTGGTTTTGGAGGTGGTATCCCAGATTTTATATTTTTTAATCTCAGAAAGTCAAGTGAGTATTCTTCTTCATTGTGGAAAGCAGTCTTATAATAAATGATGTGGGTGCCTCTAAGGAATGTTACTTCACACATATCACATAAATAAGCACGAGGGGAAGAATTTTGTACTTTGTAAGTTGAAGAACAGTCTTCAAACTGACAAAAATCATCCATATTCATTACTTTAACGATAATATTTGTTCTGGTGTTCGATACTGCTTGATGAAAGTCTTCGAAATCATAGATGTGTTTCTTCCTCTTCATATATTGCTCCACTTGATGATGGAATTCGTCTGCTGCCATGTGCGTGTGGCCTACCTCTAAATATTTTAATGTGATCGTTTCATAATTGACTTCGACTGAATTAACAAGATGGAGCAAATAAGAATACAAACTCCAATTTTTATTCCGGGTTGCACAGTTATCTAACCAGATGACTACATTTTTCAGGTCTCTATTTGCCTGCAAAAAAGCTCTGAAACAGCTTATTATGTCACTCATTTTGCGACCAGAAATTGCTTCATGCTATATCGCAGCATAGGTTTGCAAAGTAGCATTGTTTTTTTTGTCACCTATTGGCACAAAACTTTCATTGAATACGATTACTCTAGGGCAAAACACTACAATTTTAAATTCTTCAATGCGTGGGAGCATAATTACTTTATCTAAATCAGCTGCAAAATAGGCAGTATCTCAGGTGATTTTTGCGTTATTTTGTTTTTCTACATCTTTTTGTATGCTTCCCTGGCTGATGTATATTTTTCCCGATGTCGTTCATAATCTCGGCATTCTTGATAATTTCTGTGTCTTTTCTCCTTGTACTCCGGATTGTGGATAAAAAACTTTTCACACGCCTCACACTCTTCAGGTCCAAGTTTTGTAAAACATATTATTTAATGATAAACGAAAATATAGAGAACGAGGAAGACTTGGAACAAATTCTTAAGATGTTAGAAGGAGACGGAAATAATGCTGAAAATGAGACAATAACAGATGTAAATCAGGAGGAAACTGTAGGAGAAGCAGCAAAAAACAGAACAGACTGCGAGCTTTGTAATCAAAACAAAAATGAAAAATGTGACCTCTGTATTAAACGACAGATAATAGATACTAATAGAAAAGGCGCAAAAGATTCGTTGACAGTACAAGCAAATAAAATGACAGCATTATCTAACAGATAGTTTCCTCCGTCCAAAATAGGTGACACAGTTCGGGTGAAAATTCCTGACGTTGATAGAGATAGAGGCGACTTTCCCAATGTTTTAATGGTTGTACTTGAATGTAATGGTGATGGACTGTATAAATTAGGTAACCAGTTTGGCACTATTACTAAATTATTTTCTAGGAATCAATTCACTGTATGCGAGGCGAAATTTTTAGACGTTGATATTGTTTCTCCCGAAAAAAAAAAACATTACGCCAAATAGCTAATGCCATATCCACAACTGGAAGACAAGGATACAAAAGATGCCATTGCAAAACTAAATGTGGTAATAGAAAGTGCCTATGTAAAGCAGCCGGTATTTTGTGTAATTCTAAATGTTATTCAAGTTTAGCTTGTTTGAATAAGTGATAGATTCTTGCAACATACTATCGCATGAAGAGTTTGTTGTTTTTTTTTTAATAATTAAAACTGTGTCAAAGAGATCTTATTTGTTTTAACATAAAAATGTGAGAGAGGAGTACAAATACTTGGTTGATTATTTCATAGTAAAACTTAATTTTTTATGTTTAACATTTTTATCGTTGCGCGTAAGATGTCTAGTTCTTTTCTTCTGCAGAGAAGTTTTAAATTGTGAGTTTTATTAATTACTTATAAGTATAATTATAAATGTCACTTCAACATCCCTGTCTTTTATTTTTTCAATATAATAGAATCAATCGGGAAACGCAAGACAAGAATCTCAAAACAAAACCAAAACGCTTAACTAAACCGAAAACCTAGTTGTAGTCGATGATAAATAGGATACACCTAGGTTTAACCACCGGTGTGCGGCTGCACCTAGTTCTAGCCGCTATGATGAAGGCTAAATCTAGTTCTGACCGAAGATAAGTAGGATACATCTAAATTTAACCGCATGTGGTTGGCTGCACCTAGTTGTAGCCGGCTAAAACTAGGTGCAACCGCACTTCGGCTATTAGCCGTAACACAAGAATTGCTCGTTTAAAGGCATAGGATTATAATATATAAATTCTGTATTTTTCTTCTTACACACACGGGCCGAAACGAAGTGTGTGAGGGAAATTTAAATTGTAAAATTGGATGATAGAGTAGAGGAAGTCGGAACTTTCGGGTGATGCGACAAGTGTTGAGGATGGTGGCTTTTTGGAGCATGTGAAGTGTATGCGTAGGCATGTGTAGAGTGCTAAGGTTTTATGTGAGTGACTTTGGTGTAATACCGGTGGACGAGAGAACTATCGGGACGATGTGAACATTTTGTGTTTTCCGTTGCGTTTTAATTTCTATGGCAAGTTCTTGATATTTACTTAGTTTTTCGGCTATTGTAGTTTGTATGTTGTGTGAGTTTGGTATTGCTATATCTATCAGGTAACCTGTTTTATTGGTTTTGTCGTGAACGGTAATGTCAGGTCTGTTGTAATGAAAAGTTTTATCTGTTATTATTGTTCGGTCCCAGTAGATTTTCTGATTCTTACTTTCTAATATTGTTTCAGGTTTATATTTATAATTTGTATGCATCTTATCTAAGAATTGATATTTGTATGCTAAGTATTGGTGTATGATTGCAACGACTTGGTCATGACGGTGTTTATAATCGTTTTGTGTAAGTGATTTACATGCTCCTGTAATATGTTTCAAAGGCATTATTGCAATATCTACATATGTCAGTAGTCTGATTGGGGTATTTTATGATGTATATTATGTCATTACGAGCTGGTACTATTTGATCCTGTATGGCAAGCATAAAACCTTCGGTCTCGGGAAACAGTTCGCCTCATTTGCGCCATTCGTTCAATTTAATTTTATTGACGTGTGGCTGGCTCAAGTGAGCTCGATGTCTTCCATGTAGAGCTTTTTCAGACCATGCTGCAACCTTTTGATGTGTTCATTAATTTGAGTATTTCTGTTCTATAAGTTAAGTGGTGTAAGCTTTTTGTCTGTTTCCATTATGTGTTTGTGTAGTGATGAATATTCTGATTTGTAATGGAAGTAAGTAATGGGCGAAAGTATTTGTTTGTTGTGTAAATTGTGTATGTCTATCAATCCTCTTCCGCCTTCTTGGCGTGGTAGTGTGAGTTTCTGTATGCATGATTTTGGATGATGTTTTCTGTGTTTCGTGAGGAGTGTATTGAGTGTGCGCTGTAGTTTTTTGATGTCGGTTTTTGACCATCTTAAAATTCCGAAAGAGTACGTGAGAATAGGTATTGCAAATGTGTTGATGGCTTAAATACATAGTGTTTCTAAAGTTTAGGTTGATTTTTAAGATAATGTTGAGGCGATGTGAGATTTTTTTGAGGAGTTCTTGTTTTGTGATATTTTGTTGAATTCGTCTGGACTGTTTAAAACCTAAGTATATGTATGTACTGTGTTCATTCATGGGTTCAATTGATTCACCTGATAAGAGTGTGTAACTATTACTTTGAATCTTGCCTTTTACAATATACAATATTTTGCATTAAACAACTACGATAAACGTTTTATCATTGTATTTTATCAAATGTATAAACATCTATTTCTATTCATAACTAAAGTTTTTAAAGTTAAATATTTGAAGTCTTACTGTAACAATATTACACTTACTGGTACAAATAATGTAGGTATGGCTCTTTTTAATTAAATTGTTTTACTCCGCTTTTTCTTTTATATTCCTCTAGAAAATGTTTAATGCAAATAGTAGAATTTTTTTTGATTCCAACCAATCCGCCCAATCAATGCCAACCATTCTTTTTCTAAGTAAAGTATCCAGTGAGAATATGTTTGACAAACGGCAAAATAAAATAATTATTTTTGTGTGTCAAGTCTAATAAGACAAGTCTATCGATTCTTTATCAACATTCAAGATTCAATATTAATATCGACATTAATTTAGATATAGTTGAGTCAATCACTAGCGTACATGTAAAGCTGGGTACTCACCTAGCCGTATAACATGTAATGTATCAACCTGCAAGTGTGTACGGCTTGTCCACGGTCACCGCGTATCTAGCTACGTGCTCCCGGATCCGCAGTATTCGTGACAATATCACGCCGACAAAATGTCTCAAATGGTGGCTAATACTGCGTTCATATCCATGTACAATATCTTTGAAAATTATAAAAGTCCATGTTGATTTTGGCAAAGTGAAAGATTCAAAAATAGAAATCGTTGTAATAATTTAATGTTAGATATGAAGTCTCAAAGGATCAGTGGACATTTCAAGAACTTCACTCGTATGTCCAGTACAGATTTTGAATATCTGATTAATTTAATTGGACCTCAAATTCACACTAGAGACAAAAACTTTAGAAAAACGATACCGGTTCAAGATAAATCGGCTTCTAACATTAAGATTTTTAGCAAGGGGTGATTCATTCACTAGTTTCCAGTATACCTTCAGAATATCTAAGCTAGTTATAAGTAAATTCGTTCCAGAAGTTTGTGCAGCAATCATCAATGCGTTAAAAAACAACGTAAAGGTAATTGAACTTTTTAATATAGAAACTGAATCAGTGACACGACAAAGACTGATGAAATATTAGAGAAAACTTAAACGTAACCATTGGTATCCATAATATTGGACAATTCACTATGCGGAGACGACGTAGCATATTGTTCGTCGATGGTTTTCCTACAAACGTATATATTTGGGATACCTGTTCCATATTTCTGGATGTGCTGGGGCTTGTATAGTATCCAACATTGGCTGGTTGGCTGTACGCCTGTATCGGAAACGGCTGAACTGATAAAGAATATCCTTGAGACGTTTGCGTCATATTGCTTGTGTGCTGGAAGGGATATTCATAAAAGTAATGGCTGTCTGCCTTAAAAATTAAGTCACATATGCCTTGTTGCACGATTTTTTTAATGTGCTCAGAATATTTCATCATTTTAGTTCCTACAAAATCCAAGAAATATCTAATTTCATCATTTTGCGCGTTTGTTTTTGTAAAGGCTATTTTTAAAACTCCAAAAGCTTCTTTGAGCATGTGCAACTTTGGGTCGCGTTTTGCTATTTTACTTGGCGGCTCTGGTGTTTGAAGTTGTACCATAGAATACACAATAGAATGGCTGTCAGCCTTGTTTTGTACGAGGATCAGTGTCGCTGGGAGCACACGTACAAGCAATTACGTCGTATTATCACTACTACGAACCCGATTCGCTGTGCTGTTCGAGCGTATTGACACATTTAAGATTTTTGATTAATGTTTTTGACACATCTGCATTTCTTTATTTTTGTTTCTAATATCCACAAAATATAAATAGTTTCGACTTACTGGTTGTAGGATACATCTCCTTTATTTAAATTCCACTTCCCGCTGTTCTTTCGACACGTAAATATTTCACAATTTGCCATTTTTTAAATAATTTGCATGCAGCGATGCTTGACACGAAAATTGGAAACGATTGATTGTTTTGACAATTATAGGTGTCAATTTACATGAAAGTGGCTACGTGGGCTCCGCCCACTCCCCCGTTCTATTATGTATGTATTATAGTATTCTGTGGGTTGTACTGAGTTATTTGGTGACCCCGGGATTCCTTCTGCTCCAGCTTCCACTTTATTGTCCGCAGTTTCCATTGCTTTGCTTTCCTAAAATATGATAAAATTTTAATGGCTGGTAATATCACTTGCAGATCCCTGACAACTCACTGGATTGGAAAAATATATCCGAAGATTTTAACAATTTATGGAATTTTCCTCACTGCGTGGGAGGAATAGATGGAAAACATGTGTTGCTATAAGCACCGTTTAACAGCGAAGCAGAATATTTTAACTACAAGTCGACACACAGCATCGTTCTGTTTGCTATGGTAGATGCAAATTATAACATTCTCTTCGCGGATGTCGGATGCCAAGGGCGAATCTCGGATGGGGGAGTCTTTAGAATAGCAAACTACATGACATGATTGAAAATAATGATTAGATCATTTGCCCGTTCCTGCACCTTTGCACGGCCGAAATAAGCAACTGCCATACTTCATACTGAATGATGCTGCCATTGCATTGAATGAAAATGTGA